GTGAAGTATTGTGGTGCAAAGGGTGAAAATGTGTTGACAATTAGAAAATGTGTTAGATATCAAAGGTTGTAGAGCGCTACAGGGTAGTATGGTAGTGAAAAGGCTAAAGAGGGGAGAGCAAATTGGAGTACAGTGTGATTGTAAAAGGGAAAGGTGTTACGGACAAAGGGTGATTAGATCAAATGCAGAGTATCTATGTGTCCAAGGAAGGGCAAGGAACACTGGATGAGGAAAACTGCAAAAGAGCCATTATGAAACAATGAACAAGTAGTATGACTAGAAATGGGTGTTGGAGAAGTAGGAGAATCCAAGGACTATTGCGACATAAATGAGTCATGTAATTAACCAGGTGGGAGCGGTAATGATGATGGGAAACGAAAAGGGAATGAAGCATATGGAAAAGGGGAGGATGAGGTGTGTTGGGAGAGAGTGGGAGGAAGAGGGGTGGGGGCAACTTGAGGAGGAGGATGGATATCGGCAATTACTTTGAATGTAGAGGGAATAGGAATAGAGAGATTGTAGAGTGGATGAGGAAGCAGAGCGTTCTCTTAGGTCAAGTTTGGGAAGATTTAGATGTCTTCAAGGGTTTCTGGAGGGGAGGTCTAAGAAACAAAGGTTTTCTTATTAGGAGAAGAGGGGATAGATACCCGAAGAGCAGAGGAAGAGATGGGTGTAGGAGAGGATGATAAATGGGGTGGAATGTTCAGAGTGCCTGCTGCAACAGGTAAAGTGAGCAGAAGGCATAGGCATCATCATGGTGCAGGTTGGAGTATCTGGATTTAGATGGGAAAAGGAATTAGACAGGGGGAGAGGGAGTAGAGATATAATGGTTTGGAGTAGAGCAAAGATATCGATAGATCTTATGAAGATAAGAGGGGAGCAGAGCAAAGGACAATTTTGTAGTAGGTAGAGAGAGAATAACCTTATTGTGTGCTTCCTGTCTAGCCTCACATAGAGTAAGGCCTAGCTTGAATCTGAAAACTGCAACCTCTGATTCAAGCCTGTAGGCTGGGTAGCTATTATAAAATACATTATGGGAGTCACCACAATTAGCATATGTGTATAACTGAGCAGAGCAATTTGAATGGTCTTGACTGGGTTGGGCACATAGAGGGCAGTGGGCTGTGGAGACATTCTTGGAAAAGAAGTATATTATCAGTTAGGGAAATCACAAAGAATCACTCCTACTTGGCTGGCTACAAAGAGTACTCAAAAGGTTTGCAGAGGTGGAAACGGTATAAGGACGAGGGCCGCAGGAAGACATAGTGGTGTGAGTGAGGTAGTACTATGGGGAGGAGGACAATAAGGATGAAAAGTAGTAATAAGGGAAGAGGGAGTAGACAATGAAAGAGAATGCAGTAGGAGATGAAGTGGAGGATGTTGGGTGAGAGGATGAGGTGAATTCTAAAAGGTGAGTAATGACCTGGGTGAATGAGTTGGAATGGAGAGAGTTGACAGCAAACATCAAGAAGGGTTTTTTAGTATTTATTTATTTATCGAAAATATTCTGCAGCATCAATATCTAAGGTCATTAGTGATGTATTCAAAATATAGAGATAGGGGGGGTTGGTGGCAAAGCCCCAAGGTAAGGAAGTTTTTCCGTTCAATAAGGCAATGTTTGTGGATTTCCAGAATGGTTAATGGTCATAACAAATAAAAGTGCCAGACATCAAAGCTTGTATAGTATTATAATAAAGTACTGTGGTGAAAGGGGTAAAAATAAGTTAACAATTAGAATTAGTGGACTGAAGGGGATCAAGGAGAAAAGGAAAAGAAAAGGACAAGAAAATACCATGCAAACTTATTTGAGAGCTGAGGACCAAGGCAGAGGTGATCTCCTACATTAGGCCTCAGTCCCCATCTCCTTAGCCCATCCACAACAAGAGGAAGTACGGGAATGGGGGGAGGGGGATTAGTATCAGTGGTCAGAGCCACGGTCAAAAGAAAGGCAGTGGTCAGAAAACCAGAGAAGTCAAATTCAGTTAGGGTAGTTGATGAAGGGGCATGCCTTAATACTTAAAAGGCAAAAAAATCTTCATTGCTGGCTATAGTGAACCTGAACTATGTGGGGAGGAGAAGCAGTCTACCCCTCAGGATCCCCATAAGGGGTGATTAGTACATTGTCACCGGAAAAATGTTGTGCTCATTTTTTAACTTTCTGTGAAATGTCTCTGCATTTAGATGACTCTGCTAGTGCTTAGCCACAAAATGGGGTGGGGGGGATAAACTAAATAGAATCAAAATAGCATTACATGGCAAGGCATGTTATAACTTTATATCATTTTATCTTTTACTTCTCTTTTTATCATCCTAATACCTCAATTGTTAATATCAGAATGCCCGTAAACTGGTGTCATTTTCATATTTCATTGACATTGCAAGTTACAACAGCAATCAGATAATGTGCTGCTGAAAAATTATGTAATACTTTATTTCTGGAATTTGAAGTGCCTATTTCCTTCTTTTCAATTCTTTTTACATGGTTAAATTACAAAGGAAAGGTAAATGTATTTTTATATCAAAAGTCTTACAAAGTCTGTACAAAGCTCGTAAATGAATAAGAAATAAAAAGAACACAAAGCATAGGTTCCTTGCTGCGAACTTCAGCTTTAGTGACACAAGTATCAAATACTATATATTTTTGTCTTCAAGATATATGGCAAAATACACATTCTAATAAACATTGTTTATTTGATGCCATCTCTGTAAGATTGACAATCTATCACCTTCACATAAAAGAATCCCACTGAAATTCTTAAAAATTGTTAAAATAAATAAATAACAATAATAATTCAATTCCTGTTACTGTTACATTTAAGGTGCATCTCCACAGAAAGGGAAAAAGAATGGAACTTACTGAATAAAACACATCAAAAAACTTTCCCAAAGTTACCATACAAACTATTCATTGTTTCTCTCTTTCATCACCTTAACCAAAATCTCCGAGGACCTTGTTTGGAGCAAATCAGTGCCTGACCCTTGATGAAGTAATGGTGTTCAAGCAAAAGTTTTCCCAATTGCATATGCGTCCACTAGTCTCATTAGCTGGTAAGTAAACTTTTAACAAGGCCACTGGAGTATCAAGTTGCAATCGGGTTGTTAAAGAAAGAAAGATAGAAAAAAAAAAAAAAAAAAAAATCACAGTAACACATTATAAATAAAAAAAAAAATAAATAAATAAAGTAAATGGAAGAGGTTCGAGATACAGATACTGATATTGAGAACAGCTGGATGCTTTCCCTATTTTAAAACACAAATCACTGCCACACTATTTCAAGCATTATGGGATCTTGGGTAGAATTTTCTGTTGTACAATCTTTCCATATCCACCTCGTCCGCTATCGTAGTCTGTGCGGTATTCATCACGAACCTGGAATAAAATTTGTAAGAATGAATGATAAAATATCAGTAGTGTTACATTACAGCCTTACAGGTAGCTAGATCATAGGTTAGCACACAAATTACTTTTCTAGCATATGATTTTGAATAAAAAGTTTTACACATAAACAACTCCCCCCCCCCTTTCTTTAGATAAGATTGATCATATTCTAAGTCATATTTTCTCTGCCTCAAAGTTTAAAGAAAACAAGTTATTATAGGTTATGACTGCAGAAAAATGTCCTTTACTCTTGTATGTGGGTACATGGTACATGTATTATGAATTTTGCACTAACTAAAATAACACTGTTACATAGTTTTACTTTTCATACACTGATTTGTAGACTAACTTGATGATTGGTCTGTGCAAAGAAAAAAACTATTACTATCTTGATATTGCACATCAAATGGCAAATATAGACATTGGAAAATGGCCAAAAGTCCAAAAATGCTTATGCGTAAAAAAGAGTAAATAACTTTGCAGATACAAGGTAAGTGTTCGCATGCACCCACCCCACAAGCAAGATCCAATGGAAAAGAAAATCATGTTTCCAAAAATCAAAGAAATGGGCATAAAGGCATACGTTAGTCTATTAATTGACTCCTTGGTGAATAATACTTGTGGAGCCATCTATGTGTAATTATTAAACTAAAAAAAGCATTTAAATGCAGAATGTAAAAGGAGTGGAAGCTTCAAGATGACTGACTACCGAATGAGGTTCAATGGCATTAATTGTCAACATAATGTGAGAAAACAAACATTTGCTTAATGTATATAATATTTTTATGATGAACATAAACAAGACTGTACTGCTGCCTCTGTTAAATCCTGTTTGCTCTGCTATATGATCATCTGTTATAAAGATTTTTTTTTTTTTTTTAATGTACCAATACCATGGTTTTCTAAGGAATTATGAATGATTGCATATGTTTAGGCACACTAATACATATGGAGTTATTTCTCACACCTGAAAGTACTGAAAAAAACAAAAAAAAAAAAAAAAAAAACTTTTCCACAACAAAATTATATCCAATCAAACCCTAATGAAATCTTTTAGTTACTTTTAAATAAAACTTGAAACTTAAATTACAATAGAAATCAAGCAAACAATATAAAGCAAGTACCTGTCCACCACTCTTTCCTCGACCATACTGTCGTCCCTCAATGAAACCTGCATCCCAATCTGTTCGAACTATGCGATCATCAAGGCGAGTTCCATTGATGTACCTCATGCACTGCTCTGATTCTTCCCTGCAAAAGAGAGAAGGGAAAAAAAATGAATTAATGATTATTAAATTGGTTGTGTTATTATTAATACTGAACAATTATTTAACCTTTTGTGCTTGGATGGCATGACATACATGACATGTCTACAGTTATTTTACACAAAGATGGCTCCACATGTATTTAGTTACTTAGGAATCAATTACTAATCCTCCCTATCTCATCTGTCTGCTTTTCCCCGTGATTTTTGTAAAAAAAAAAATAATAATAATAATATTTTTTATTGCTGTTAGCATTTTAGTAATATTATAAGAATCAACAATATTAACATGAATGAAGAAAACACTCTACTGTGTTGATACAATGGTAGAAAAACCCATAATGTAAACACTAGATTTATCAAAAATGAGACACTCATCTTTAATAAATCTAGTTTTTACATTGTGGGTTTTTCTACCAATATTAACATCAACAACAATAACATTAAAGGTACTAAAATCTTTATTTTTCTAAAAAGGAACTGGGAAGTCAAGTGAGGTCATGTCAGGTTTTATAAGACCTATTACCAAGACTCCTTGGTGTCTAAGCACATGTGAAGCCATATCTATGCAACAGAATTCCAGCATACAAAGGGCGAAATCTTTATTACCAATAAAATATACTTGCAAAATGGACTTATTACAATTTAGCTCAGTAAGATATTTATTTCCATATATTAGTGCCTAAATTTATAATCTATATCTAAATTTCTTAAATATCCTCTTATTTTGTTTCTTATTCATGGAAGTTAATAAACTTAACAGGTAGGCCACCCACCAAACAGGCTTTAAAATACTAGATATAAAACTAGAAATCCTATTTCAAGTTTCATTTTTAAAAGACAAACAGAATAAAATTCCTATCACTGACACTAACTCAAACCCTTCTATGTGTTTCTAATACTTTCTTTAGCTCAATAACCTCTTTCCCACCATATGATGACCAGAATGTAGCTGTGACATGTCAAAGTGGATACATGACATATTGCTCCCAATAGAGCAGTGATGATAAACAAAGTGTTAAAAGTCAAATGTACTGGTAACTGGAAGACAGTTACTATCTCATGTGGTAAGGCTAACATAAAGCACACATTTATGGGGTTTATTATCAATTATTACAGATGACTAAACTTACCTTGTGAAATACTCAACAAAACAAAATCCACATGGAGTCCTCTTAACCTTGTCAAGCCCCATAATGATCCTCTTTACATCTCCAGCACGGCCAAACAGCTCATAAAGTTGTTCCTCAGTAGTGTAAAAGGACAGGTTGCCCACATACAGCGTGCTCGATGTGCGTAGGAGTCTTTCTTGCTCTGACCGTGAACCCTGGAAAAAGTTAAAAGAGACTAGTGTTGGTCTTATACCAGTGGCCTTAAGATCTCTAAATAGTGTTACTATTATTGTTGAAGTTTGCAAAGTGAGTCAGATTTTTCTTGACAGATGATCATTTAAACCAAAATCCAAGGATATTTGCCATTCCTAGTATGACACTGATATTCCAGTAAGCTGTGCATCCCAAATATATGCAGTTAAGATTCAGTTTCATTTTATGGCAGATTTTGTCTTCTTGTTTTTGAGACAATAAAAAATTTATATCAACCAAACAAACAACTTTGAAAAATCACCTACTTAATGGTAATCCTTTATTGTTCTTTTGTTTTGTTACCAAAAGACAGACACTTCATTACAATTAGTTTCCTAACAAACAATTTTGTTAATACCAGGCATAAAATGTTATTGTAAATGAAATGCTAAGCTATGAATATATTGCATTTCAATCTTATATAGAACAAAATTGCATTGTTTGACTTGATTTTGAACTAATCATCATTCACTCAATATTCTGATTTAACCTAACTTAACCCAATGGCGCCGGGTGTACAAAAAAAAACCTCTACGCTCTAGCAAAGAACCGGTGTGCCGACTTTGAGCGCATGAGTAGGAGACATCAGCCCAAATCACTGGCTCGCCGTGCTTTGGCTCGCCGCCGGGGCGTACAGCCGCACACCAGCTTTCAAGCGGTTTGTTTTCATGCCGATCAGCGTCACCAATCGTTAAGGGGTTAAATGTGCATTTACTTTCTTTACCAGCAATTGGGCTCTTATTGGTATATGTGCTTGATATCTTGAAAGAATATAGATAAGATAATTTGGAATATAACAAATGTTTACCTTCTCATTTAAACATAATAATTGTGGATGCTTACCATATGAACTGCTGTGATATCCCATAGTTTTTAATAAATTCTTTTGCTTGCTGTTATTACCTTCTTGTTTCAACCTTTACAAAAAAGTTCTTCCTATTGTTCTATTCATGTTCTTTTCTTATGTCAAATGATTTGTTTAAGATCAGATGTACTGTTATTTCTTCCATACATTCTGCTTTAATCATGGGAAAACAAACACAAGTAATGGATACATAGGACTGTGTTTCTAGGTTAGCAACTTGCCGAACCGGTAGAGTGGAATTTGTTGAATGCTTTGTATAGCTTGGCAAGCTGCAAACTCGAACTTTTCAGTCTGCTTGCTCTAAGAACATGACCTCATTTGTCAACATACATAGCATCCCAAATAATGAACCTTTGGTACTGAACAGCTTTATTGGGCTATTTATTATAATCTATGAAATTAAAGCAAAAGTGAAAGCTAGTATATATTGTTCAACAGCGGGTTAGTAGGTCTGCACTGATAACTTGGTGAGCTGCTAGTCTTGTTGAGAGCAACCTAGACTAGATAATTTGTTATGCACACACCACACTACATGTTGCAAGCATGTCTTTACGCAAGGTTTCCAATACTGGCTTTAACAAATATCTTTCCTTTATCAGTGGCTTTACAAACTTACAAAAAAACTCAACCAAATCACATAGTTTACCAAACACTCCCTAGCTATCAATATCCGTAGCCGAAGCCTCGAAACTGTTGGTCAGCGATAATGAAAACCATCACAAAACATGAAATACACATCATAAGCCGTTATCCGGTGCCAATATCGTAACTATCGGCGATGCTGTACTTCCAGCAACATTTACCGCATGAAAAATAGCCATCATCTTAGAAATAGACAAGACTATTTCTTACACCCCATAGCACAACCATTCATTCAACGACGCTCACCTAAAAATAAAATAATACATATTTACCAAAACCTCACTCCTTCCTTACATTTTTTATCATATCAACATATCAATCTCACCTTAAAATGTTGATCCCTGTATGAACTAAGCTCAGTACTACACGGCTGAAGGTTCATTTTGGCGAAATTTGACTTTTTTTCCTCGAACGGCGTCTCTCCTCGTCAGCTTTAGTGTTTACGTTTCGGACATGTCTACGCTCAGGGGTTACGGAGCTAAAATTATTAGGTCGCGTCAAATCGTTTACTTTGTCTTTATTGTGTGATTATATCTTAGTAATAGTATTAAAAACTTATCAATTAAAACCTTATGTGAGCTTCATTTTATCGAGGCATAAAAGTGAGAATTGAAATTTATTGCTCGTAATCCCATGACCTCTACAGACTTTTAAAAATCGTATCAACGAAATGATGATAATAATACAATGGACGTAAGCTACAAGTGAAATTATGATGAGGAAAATACTACTAATAATTAATGATAATGACAATAATAATTATAAATGATGGTGATAATAATAATAGTAGGAGTAATAATAATAAAAGATAACAACAACAATGATAATAATAACAATGATAATAATAATAATGATAATAGTAATAATAATAATAATAATAATAATAATGATAATAATAATAATAATAATAATGATAATAATAATAACAATAATGATAATGATAACAATAATAATGATAATGATAATAATTATATTTTTGTTAATAGTTATGCTAATAATATAAATAATAATAATAATAATAATAATAATAATAATAACAATAATAATAATAATAATAATAATAACAATAATAATAATAATAATAATAATAGTAGTAGTAGTAATAATAATCCCCATTCTCATAATAGTAATAATGATAATAACAGTAATGATAACTGTAATAATAACAATAACAACAATGACACTAATGATAACGATCATAGCAATAGCAAAGATGATGATAATGATGATGATAACATTAATAATAATAATAGTAATAATAATAATAATAATAATGATAATAATAATGATAATAATAATGATAATAATAATAATAATGATAATGATAATAATGATTATAATAATATGAATAACAACAACAACAATAACAATAATGATAATAATAACAACAATAATAAGAACACTACTACTACTATTACTACAACTACTACTACTACTACTACTAATAATAATAATAATAACGGCATTATTAATAATGATAATGATAATGATAATTATGATAAATAAAAAGAATAACAATGATGGTGATAATATGAGGGATGATTAAAGCTATAATGATATCAATAATGATCATTATATAATTATAGTAATAGTAATAATAATAGGGATAATAATGATGATAATAATGATAATGTTCATAATAATAAAAATAAGAATAAGGATCATGATACTAATAAAATAAATAAAATAGTGATAATAATAATACTGATTGTGATGATAATAACAAAAATGATAATGATAATGACAATAATGATAATGATAATAATAATAATAATGAAAATGATAACAATAATAATAGTAATAGTAATAATGATAACAATAATGACAGTTTATGAATATAATAATAACAATAATAATGAGGATAACAAAAATATAATAATAATAATAATAATAATAATAATAATAATAATAATAATGATAATACAATAATAATAAAAGTGATAATAATAACAATAACAAAAATAAAAATTATAATGATAATGATAATAGTAACAGTAATACTAATATTGATAATAGCGAAAATAATAATGGTAGTAATAATAACAATAATAACAATATTAATAATAACAACTTTACTAATAACAAAAATAACCATAATGATAGCAATAGCAATCATGATAGTAATGGCAATGACAACAACAACAGTAACAACAATAACAGTAATGATAATGATATTGATGATGAGAATAATAATGATGAACACGATAACAACAGTAATAAAAATATCAATATTAATGTTAATGCTAATGATGGTGGTAAGAGAAAAAAAAATGTTCATAATCATAATAAAAAACAGTAAAATGATAATGATAATAAGAAAGTAATAATAATATTATCATTATAATGGTAATAACAAGCATGATAATTATGATAACAATAATAATAATGACAACAATGATAATGATAATGAAATGATAATAATTATGATAATAATCATAAAAATAATAGTAATAATAATAATAGTGATGATAATCATCTTCATCATCATATTAATATAACAACAATGGCAGTGGTAATAATAATAACACTAATAATGTTAATAATAAAATTGCTAATGATAATAATAACAATAACAGTAATAATAATGATAATGATAATAATAATAATAATAATAATAATAGTAGTAGCAATCATAAGAATAATAATAAGAATAACAATAATAATACTTATACTTATAATGATCAGGAAAATATTGATGATAAGAGTGACACTAATAATGATAATAATAGTAATACTAATAATGATAAAATTAATAATAATCATAATGAGAAAACTATGATGATGATGATAATAACAATAATAATAATGATAAAAATAAAAGTAATGATAACAATAATAATAATAATAATAACAATAATAATAATAATAATAATAACAACAACAATAATAGTAATAAAAATAGTAATAATAATAATAATAATAATAATAATAATAATAATAATAATAACAACAACAATAATAGTAATAAAAATAGTAATAATAATAATAATAATAATAATAATAATAATAATAATAATAATAGCAATAACAAATTATAATAACAAATAATAATGATAACAATACTGATACTAATAATACTAATGATAATATTAATAACAATAATAACAGTTATGACAATAATGATAATAATAATGGTAACGATAATTATCATAATAATAATAATAATAATAATAATAATAATAATAATAACGGTAGTAGTAGCAATAACAATAAAGATAATAGTAGTTGTAGTAGCAATAATAATAATGATAATAATGATAATAATAATAATAATAATAATGATAATAACAATAATAATAATAATAATGATGATAATAATAATAATAATAATAATAGTGATAATAATAATAATAATAATAACTATAGCATTAACAGTATTAGCAATTATGATGATGGTCCATTACATATAATAAATCTCATTCACCTCAGCGAATTACATATTCTGAAGAGAAAATGAATATGATTTTGGGAATAGTGGACGTCTGTTCATATTCTAAAAATAGACCCAAGTCACGCCAGTACTTCAATCCTTTTTTACACATTGTTATAAAAGTGATAAAAATTAGCGTAACTGTAATTCATTTCTTTTGTTTTGTAGGCTAATGATATTCTTTCTCTCCCTTTTTTGTTTTGCAATTCAATGGAAAATATCACGTATTTGCATTTTTAAAAGGATTTTCCGTGTAAATTTTGGACAATATTACACTTCATCTTAAAAATCCAAAATCACCAAATTCTATACACTACACAACCCTACACAACTGCTTTGAATGGATTATTATAATTTATAACCCAAAAAAACAGCCTAAATTACTCTAAATAAACTAGAGAAACCGTCTCAGGAAGAACGGTTATCATGCTATCTCGTAACACATCCTGTACCTTAGAATTTCTCAATAAAACAACCAAATCGACTCGGAAATCCGTAATGGCATAAATATTTGATAAAAAAAGTTTTCCAAATATGCTATAAAACTCCACGATGAATTACTTTAGAATAGAGGGACGCGTCACTCACAAAGGCTGCGTGAGTATCAAGATATTTTTCGAATATATCTTTTAATCCACACACTTATCATGAGATACAAATTCACCAATTTACCCTGTAATTCCTAAACTAATTAAACTTTCGTAAAATAACCCAAAATATAGTTTGAAAATTACTTAAATGAAGCTTAGCATAATGAAAGCGTCCTTCGGGAGGCCTGGGCGAGTGTCAAGCTATAACGCGTTCTATAACCAGTGAATTTACAATATAACACAACCAACCCCTTACATACACCATGAAATCCGTAAAAAGAGATTTCAATCCACAAACTAACCTAAAGCACACATAAATAAAGCCTAGAACAGAAACGCGTCCCCTGGGAAGCCCGAAACAAAACCAAGCTATCATATAACGCCTCATACAGCCCGCAGAACTCACAACACGAATCTAAACCAAACTCCCAACAAAACTTAAACCCCCTAACCATCCACACCATACCCCAAACACCCCCAGCACGCCCCTGGAGCCCCAAAACGAGGGTAAAGAGAGCTCCGGGAGCCTCGGGGCCGGCGCGGGCGTTCGAAGGCGGCGCGCCGACGTCCGAGCGGAGCTTGAGCAGGCCGCCGCCAGAAGGATCATATTTAAAGGCGCCATATTGATTTTTATAATGTTTGGATAGGTGTGGTTGGGGATGGAGGTTGCTCAGAGGAAATCGGGGAAAATGGAATGACTCTTGAAGTCAAAGCACCCTATTCAACCCTGCCATATGGTGAGTTAGCGGCCCGAGAGCCCCGCGGAGGAGGAAGGGGGCGAGAAGACCTCTTGGGAAGACCTCTGGGGGAGACAGACCTCTTGGGGAGACCTCTTGGGAAGACCTCTGGGGAGACAGACCTCTTGGAGAGACATCTAGGGACGACAGACCTCATAGGAAGACAGACCTACTGGAAAGATTGACCTCTTGGGAAGACAGGACCTAGTAGACAGACAAACCTGGGAAGACACGCCTCTTAGGAAGACCTCTTGGGACGACAGTAGACAGACCTCTTGGAAGACCTTTTCGAGGCTGGAAAGGTGAAAAGGGGAGTTCCAAGCCCTCCAGTGGACACATTTAGGTTCCCTTCCCCTCCTCTACTTCCCACTCCTATGAAACCCAAGACATATTTTGGTGGGTGGGTTGCCTGGAATTTATTTTACTCTTTTTCCCATCCATAACTATTTTATTTTCATTATTTTAAGGCTGTGGGGAAGTGTAATATTGGATGTTGGTGTAGGGTGGACAAGGAAGTGTTTTATCCGTAGATACGCCAAGTCTTGCAGTTGTGAGAACCTAGGTCCTTGTCTTGGTGCCAGGACTGTGGTCGTGAACTGCCCAACAGTCGTTTGTCGGGAAAAAAAGGTGGTGGTCGGATGTCAGGTACCTCAAGGAATAATTGGTGGACAAGGCTCGTCATGGGTTGTGTGATTGATCTTGTCCAATTATTTTCGTCATGCTATCCC